TGGCAGCGTGAGGCGAGGGAGCGAGGGGGAGACCTGGGAATCCCCATTTTGGCAATGAACTATGCTGTGCCCTGTAGGATGCTATTTATTTTTGATCTCTGGGCTTTGCTTAACGACAGAGCTGACTTGCATTTAAGCCTACCCTGAACTGCCAGAAAAAAGCAGTTCAAATCATCTGGCCACTTACCCCCAACATCCAGACAGCACTTCTATGCTGTACTAGCACAGTCTTTATGTAGCTATATGATCAATAGGACTGAGAAAATAATCTGTCTCAATAACTTTTTTCCTTCAACCGAGTTCATTTTCAGCCAAATCATCTTTGCAGTTCTGTGGGTAAAGAACAGCACAAACAGATGCCACAGAGAGGAACTGTTCGTCTCCTGCGGCAACATCAGCTTAAATGTACTCCAAACTACAACCTATGTCTCTTCCAAACCCTCTACCACCCAGACAGCCTACAGCCGTACCACACTGAACATGGCCAATATGGTCTCATGAGACTGCACACTCATAGGAGGACCATTCAAAAAAAAAAAAATTAAAAAAAGACAAACCCATATACACGATCAAACCTTTTTTTTTGTTGGCAAACACCTTTAACCACACTGTTAGCTCTCAAGATCAAAGGAGTCTTGCATATAATCCAGAGATGACCCTGGCCTTCCAAGGACTAAGACCATTAATCACATTAAGCCAAGAAAGTATCAGTAACATTTTTCACTCTGTTCATCCTGTAGCGTTAAATACCAATGGCAAAAAAATATTTGTTTCTTTTTGGTTTTAATATGATATAAGCTCTGGAGGAAATGATTTATCAACAGTTTTTAAGCAGGGGGCAGAGTATTTTTTTTTTTCCTTTCCCCCCCCCCCCCGCCCCCCCCCTTGTGAGAAATTCAGAACTTCCTCTGTTTACTCAGGACGATTCCAGAGTAAGCGAACAGGACAACGCAATCAGGGGTCAGCTTCATACAGCTGATGACTAGAAAAGATTTTTCCATTCATGCCATTTAAAACTGTGGTTAACATTTCTATTAGCAACCTACCGAACTTCACACATTCTACAAGCAACCTGAATTTGTTAGGAGTCCAGATTTCCCCCCATTCACGCCTACGCCTTGTAACGTAGGTTCCCCTGACATCTCTCACGGAGCGGAAAGACACAGGAAAAAACATTGAGCAATCCTGGTATTTTTATGATCAAAGAAAATGTAGAAAGGAGCATACATTTCTGTGTGTAGAGAAAAAGGAGAAAATTAAAAAAAAAAAATTCTCAAACTGCCTTATGGGAAAGAAACAAAAAGCCACATTAAGGTAACTTTGGTTTCTGTGTTGGTCATTTTCAGAAGTCAGAAAGAAAACATGAGAGTTCCTAACAAATATCTTTCTGTCTGCCCATGCTCAATATTGTATATGGTAACTTCTGCTCTTAGGTGAACCAGGTTGTCTCCCCTTAACTTTTATCAAAGAAGTTGAACTGGGAAATGAAGCATCAAGGAACCCAGCAAAATATGTGAGAACCAGGCAGCAATAGTGCTTCAAAATGAGTTGATGCTCAGACGACTGAAAGAGTTCCCTGGCTTTCAGATGAGCCTCGCTACAGGTGCAGAATGCCTGCAGGTGCTGTAGTTCACTAATCCAGCTTACCTCCCTTATCCCCTCTGCTTTTGGGGGGAAGTCCTGACTTTAGCAAAGTCACTAGAAGTTTGGTTGCCATCTGCAGTGCAGCAGAACATCCCCGCCCGTGTGGCTGGCACCGCAATCCTCCTGCTGGTGTGGTAGCCACCAATTTATTTGCCTCACATAGGGAAGGTGCAAAGATGTCTCTGTGCGTTCCTTCAACAAACATATATAATATGCCACATATAATACAATGACTTTTTTTTCCACCCACATACAATCATCTCCAGGATCCCAAAATTGAACAGAGTTTTGTCTTGAATTTCCACTGACTGAAGGAGCGTCATCTTAGTAGGTCTAAAATAAAAGTCCTTCACGGCCTCAATGTGGCCTTTATGCTTTAAGCATTGTATTTGCAAGCCTGAAGTTTTAGACAAAAGCCTGCCGTGGCAGGGTGTTGTGAAAAGCAGTAATCCCTCCCTACACGGCAAGCAGGGATTCTGAAGCGTCAAAGCTATACTGCAGCTTCTGTATGTCACAGGTTCCCACAGGAGAACGAAGAAGCGCATCTTCAGGATGGATTACGCTATGTGCTTCTCTCTCCCCCCCCCATTTCCAGATGTTCAGCGACATGAGACTGGGATAGGTGCAGTGCTTTGAATTTGGGTGGAGAAGCAGGGAGGCTGGGAAGGCAGGGATTCAAGGAGGGGAAGGCTGACAGAGGATGAAGATCTACCAACAGCATCCTGGTGTTTACCACAGGTGTTTGCAAGGCTAGAAACTTGCATGCCAAGCCCAACTGCTACCGATTTACTTATGCACTAGGGCAGACCAGTCTGACTTTCAGAGTCTTGATTTTCTCATACGGAGATGACGTATTAGTTTACCTTGATAAAATCAACACAAGAACATTTACACATAGGCAACAACACACATAATAGCAATAATGCAAGCATACAAACAAGAAGAGGATGTGAAGTCTTGCTGATTTGGTTTAGTGAACAAGAGCAAGGAGTTTGTATTTGCACTCCTGATCTCCTACCTTAATCAACCACTGCAGAATCAAAGTTTTATAGAGAGGAAAAGACAACAGAGCTAGTTAATTTTTTCATTAAAGGATATTATGATGCTTGCAGCAACAATTACCCTCTCCAGTTGCCCAATTACCATTGTCTCTCCCATATGTCGTTTAGAACCTGGAATCTCATTGCCTGGATAAATCTACAGCACCTGGACTCAGTTGCTCAGAGTAGCAGCATGCCAACTTAAGTAATGTACACACAAAAAGTTACAAGAGGGTACCAAATCATGCATTACTAGCGCTCATATAGAACTATCTGCAAAAGCACTGCAGGTGAGACGAAGAAATTGCGCCTAAGGCTGAATACAGGCAGACTGACTTACACAGGTATGCAGAGTCCTAGCTTCTCCACTGGTCCTCCGCAAACACCTCGTCCCAAAGCTCTCTTACAGCCTTGGCTGCAGAACAGGATCTCACAATCTTAATTAAATAACACAAGCTGAAGACTTCTGGAACAGTACGAGAGGAAATCTCAGGGAGTGGTTCTGAACACTCAGTAGCAGAACTAGCTCCTTAAAGCCTTCAGGAAAAGCAAAAGTTCTTTTTTTAAAAAAGGGATGCAATAAGTCCTGTTTCAGGCATATCCAGGAAACTCCCAAAGCAAAGGAAAAGCCACTGAGAAATCCCTATGACTAGAGGAATGAGAAAAAGATCTACATACAGCAAGCCATGCTGCTTGGCTTATCCAGCAGTAACAGCTACTTCGGATGACCATCAGAGGGTTTGTAGGTCTGCCTTCGATTTAAAAAATGATCGAGTTTTGTTTGTACTTCCCATGTTCATAGCCCTATGCAAGGGCTATGGACATGAGGGCTATGCTCCTCAGGCACACAGGCGGAATTTGGATTAAGAAGGCCTTTGTTTAGTATTTCACCAGAAGTGAGTATTAATAGTTACTTCTACAAAAGAAAAAGCCCCACCCATTTTAAAAAAAAAATTTGAGAACTTTGATGATTTTTCCTTGAGCAAGAAGTAACACAGAATACAAAATAAACAGCATTTTCATATACAGGGATGACAAGAATATTTTTACAAAAAAAGTTAGTTTCTTAACTCCTTAACACCCCAGGAACCGGGGGCAAACGTGCTTTGGGAGTACAAGGCTCCCAGGAAATTAACTGTACCACAAAACCACACACATTTCCCACTGTAACCTTCCCATTTACACACGTGTGAGACAAACAGGGTGCAAGGATTACCTGTGCCAAGAGCGGGGAGGGGGGGGGATCCTAAACATACTGATCGGTGATATTAAGAAATTCCAGTGTTAAATGGGGGGGAAGGCAGCTATTTGGTTCTGCCTGCTACCACCGAGATGCCCCTGGGCAGGGCCGTGCTGCCGGGAGGTGTCTGCAGGGCAGAGCCAAGCGCGCAGCGGGCGAGATGGGGTTCTGTGGGCGACGGCAGGAGGAGACGTGGGGACAGAGAAGCGGATCCCAGCAGGGACGGCTCCAGGCAGCGGAGACGCGGGCAGGGAGTGAGACGGAACTACAAGCAAGCGCTGAGGGAGGCTGCGTTCAGGCAGCTCTCTTCTGGTCTTTGCGGCAGATCTCCAAAGAAGGGCAACGAGGCTGGTGAAGGGTCTGGAGCACAAGGCTGGTGAGGAGCGGCTGAGGGAGCTGGGGGTGCTCAGCCTGGAGAAGAGGAGGCTGAGGGGAGACCTTATCGCTCTCTACAACTGCCTGAAAGGAGGCTGGAGCCAGGTGCGGGTCGGTCTCCCAAGTAACAAGTGATAGAAAAAG